TCACAATATTTAAAATATATATTATGATATAATAAATTTTATGTTATATAATAAATTTCTAAAATTATTAATCAAAGATATGGATATGGATAGACAACCTAAAAGTAAATAAAGGAACAGAGGAAGTCTACCGAGAAAAGGTCCAAATTTCATAATGAACAATTTTTACCAAATTAACCCCTCGCAAAAATTTTGCACTAAACGCGCCTAAATAAAGGGAACAGAGGAAGTCTATAAAAGGTCCAAATTTCCATATTTGTTAACCCCTCGCATTGCAGGGCGGACACGTAAAACCCACACGACACAGCCCTGGTCCTGGGTGGAAATTTGGGAACAAAAGGTCGCGTATTCGCGTGCTGGGGAAGTTTCCTGGAAATCGCACGACGCGGCGGGGGTTGGAAGCAAGGAAATAAGAAAACCTCTGGTCCCGCTCGCCAGTGTCCCGGTCCAACTCCAGTCCCCCGCGCCTTTAAAAGAGCCTTTCCCCAGCCACATGATCCCTCACCCCCCACACAAACCGCATCCCGCATCCATTGACCAGACGGCGGCGCTCATCTCCTCCCCCACGGTTCTCCCCATCGGCCTGCTGGCTTCCCTTCGTCTTCCCCGTAAGCCCCTACGATCAACCTTACTCTTCATATTCTGCGCCGATCTGTTCGAATTTAGGACTTTCTGGGCCGATTAGGTTGGGATTGGTGTCCATCTGGGGTTCGATGCAAGCGCGGGGATTGTTGATCCGATTCGTTTGGGTTGATGACTTTCTGGGGCCTGGGTTGAGGATTGGGGCATTAATTCGTCGATTTTGCGATTAGGGGTGGTGGATCGTGGATCCGATTGGTTTCATCGTCGATCGATCGATCGATCGGGGGTTCTTGGTTGGGGTTGCGAATTAGGGTTGTTGGTTGGTTGTGTAGCGTTGACTTGTACCGTAGACTTGTATGATGCTTGATGACGATTTGGGGATTGAATTAGAGGTTTGATTGATCGACTTCTGTGCTTCACTAGAATTTTGTTGATTTCCTCGCGGATAATATGATGAATATTCATGCTTCTAAAAGTTGGATTAAAAGTTGGATTAGATGGTAGATTAAACGCATCGGACAATTGTCCCCTTTACTCAGTGTGACACTTATGTGCCTTTACTCGTGTGACACTTATGTGGGTAGTTTGAGCTTTAGAATCATCTGTCTACTGGCATCTCTTTTTTGTTGAGTTCGAATATGCTTACTTGTACCCACGGGAGGTGTTAATCACGTCATTGCATCTAGTCATGATACAAGATACTTCTTTTAAGTACCATTCCAGCGTATTTTGAATATTCCATATATGTTCCTTCTGTGTATTCACCTATCCTGTGTTTTCTTTTCATGCAGGATACTGATCCTCATCACCCATGTCTGCTGAAGTTGCCGGAGGACACCCTTATTTCCTCTCGTGCTACTTCTGGTTCATATACTGCATAAAATTCCGAGATTTCACTTGATACAAGTGGAATACTAGGAGTTTTGTGCTAATACTTCCTACTATGTGAATCAGTTGTAGCTGGTGAATTTGGCAAGACTCAAGTTCTCTCATCTGAGTTCAGAAAACATCCGTTGGTTGATTGCTTGATCTCCTGCTTCCCTTGAGTCTTGCCAACCATAGTTTTCTCTGATCATCAGTTGTGGTCTACGATCTCTTTCTGTGACTTGACCAACTTCTCTCTTGGTCCTGTCAATCTCACTCCCCTCCAAAGGCTTGTCTAGAGGTTGGATTGCCCTGCTCTCTGCTGGCACTGCAGCCTCCTGAAGTCTTTCCTTGCTGCATTCTGTGCTCACACTTTTGAAAAGCTGCTCTCTTCTGCTCTGCTTTGTTGATTTGTGCACTTGGATTCTCTCGTCTGTACACTCAAGCTTCTCTCTTCCTGGGCAATTAGTTATCTCCTTGAAGCATTTCAGCTTTTGTCTAGAGTTCTTTCTATTGGTGTTGAAGGCAAGAGAAGCTTTAGGGTGATGGCACAAACTAGCCTGCCTCCTGGTTTTCGTTTCCACCCAACTGATGTTGAGCTTGTTTCCTACTACTTGAAGAGGAAGATCATGGGAAAGAAACTTATCGTCGATGCTATATCAGAGGTTGACCTGTACAAGTTTCCTCCCTGGGATCTACCTGGTAATTCATTTGAACATTAGCTTTCGAACTTTCTTTGTTGTGTAACTGGTGCTTAGATGAATAGAATATTCAGTGAGACTAAAACATAGTTTTTGAACTGATTAATGTGAACTTTTGCTTTTATACCTGTGCACTGATATTCTTTTGTTGTGCAGACAAATCCTCCCTTAGAAGCAAAGATCTTGAATGGTTCTTCTTTTGTCCTCGTGACAAGAAGTATCCTAATGGGTCTAGGACAAACCGTGCCACGCCAAATGGTTACTGGAAGACTAGTGGAAAGGATAGAATAATTACGCTTAACTCTCGCACTGTTGGAATGAAGAAAACATTGATATTTCATGAAGGCAAGGCCCCTAAGGGTGACAGAACTGATTGGGTGATGTATGAGTACAAAATGGAAGATGAGGATTTAGTTTCTGCTGGTTTCTCAAAGGTAATTCTACCTGCCTCTTAATGTTTCCAGTTCATATTTTACAAACAGTTTATTAGATGTTCTAGATGTTGGATGTTGTACTGGATTGTTGGATTGTGTGGACAGTCAAGCAGTCAAATGATTCCATGTTATGTTCTATGGATGATTAATAACTAACAAAATTACTCAAATGGTTCTTGTTGAAATATGGTGTCACTGTAATTGCTCCTGTCTCATGGGTGTTATGTTTGGTCAAGTCTAGCAGTGCCAATTCATATACTTTTTGTTATGTGTTAAAAGTTTTGTGAATGTCGTTTGGGTTGAATGATTCTGCAATGAAGAGTGAAATGGCACAGAAAAGAAGCATTAATTAATATGCAGTATATCTGAGTTAATGTGCCTTTTGATTAGCCAATATGTATTCCATGAGCCATTTAAGTTACCATGCTGAATCTCCTTTGTCTTGTTGAACATCCAGGATGCTTATGTACTCTGCAAAATTTTCAAGAAAAGTGGCCTTGGTCCAAGGATCGGGGAGCAATATGGTGCTCCGTTTAATGAAGCTGAATGGGATAATGCAGAAGCTGAATCTTCTATGTTTCCTTTGATGACCTCTTCAGAAGTAGTGAACCCAACAGAGGGACCACGTGCCCAGCCTGCTGCCCCTGCTGGTGCTCTTCAGGAACCACCTCTACATAATTCATCTGCTACTTGTGCTGGAGAGGAATCATCATTTGATCATGCCACTGCAAATACTTGTGCTGAGGACGTAACTTTTGGCTATACTGTTGCTAGCTCTGCTATCCAAGATATACCTGCTCAGATGTCAGGAGATGGTGTGGTTTCTGTGAACAACATATCCAATGAGGCCAATGATATGTACAGTCCTCATGACTGTGATGGTTTTCTATTGGAGGAGCTGTCTAGATTTCTGAATGATTCTCCTGTGCGTAACACTCCTTTTGGAGAGGTATAAATCAGTACTTGTTCTTTCACTAGTTTTACTGACAGCTCATCGATTTTATGCTTCTGCTTTAGATTAGAAATTCTTTTTATGTTTCTGCTCTAGATTAGAAATTCTTTTCAGATGCTTACTATTTAGCTTTGATGTCTTTCACAGTGCTCTGGTCTTCCTCCGATGTCTGAAGCTGAGGCTCATGCTTTTGAAGTCAACTCTTTTGGCCTCTACAATGAATTATCAGGGCTTGTTGGGTTAGGAAGCGTGGATAATAACTTCAACACCAGCAATCCGATTCTGCCACCTGACAGAGAACTGTCCGCTGATGATTACATGGAACTAAATGATCTCCTTGCTCCTGATCCAAGCTTCCCCAGTGAATTTCCTGCTCTGGACAATCAATATATGCATTATCCTCTTGATGAGTACAATGGACATTATGATGTCACTACTCTGTCAGGTCCTTTGGAACCAACAATGCCTAGCATTTTCGATGCTTTTCCTCCTTCCAATAATGGAGTACTCGCCACAGATGTGGCAGCTGACTACTTGGACCCAACCATGCAGTTCCCTTTCTCATGATTGGTCTCCAATTGTCGTGGAGGTACGGATAGTTATTAGTTATGCCTGCTTTCTTTTTATGTGTCCTTGAACATGTCTGGACTGCTTCGGTGTTGCAACTTGCAGTTCTCTGTTGCTACTACAACTCTTTATCCACCTTGGATGTCGTGGACGTCATCGATGTCATGCCTGGGCTCATGAAATCGTCTGCTGCTCTTCTGAACCAAGCCGACCAGGGCTCATGAATTCGTCTGCTGCTCTTCTGAACCAAGCCGACCTTGGCTGGTATTTCGTGGAAGCACGGTGCTTGGATCAATCTGCATCGACTACTGCTTGCTCCCAACTGGTTGAGCTGACCGCCAATCCCAGCTCACTCTGCTGAGTATCAATAAGACTTGGCGTGTAAATCTTTGATTATGTTATTACCTGTGTGTATTGCAACCTGCATGATTGCCATCATTTTAAGCAATTTGTCTTGTGTGTATTGAGTATTGACTATGCAAACAATTATGGTTGTCGTAATATGGATGCTTAATTAATACTTTAGTTTACCCCGTCACCGTTTCATTGGCTTTTGGATCGTTGGTGCTTTCTTGGCTCTTGCGTTCTCTTCTGTGTTTTGCGGATTTCAGTTGTCCCCGTTATGTGTGGCTCATTGGCTTTCGGATCGTTAACCCGTTCTTTGCTCTTACGTGCTCTTCTGAGTACGGTACGGAGAATTTCTGTTGTTTAATAAAGTGCGGCCTTGCACAGGCTTGAATATTCTGGGAATCGGGCAGTAAGCAAAATTGGACTGCCAGTAGAAATTGAGAGAATTCGACTATCTGATACTCCGATCATTTCTTTTCCCGAACGCTGTTGGAAATGTGGTCGTAGCCTCGTAGGAGGAAACGTGTAAAACCACATTTGCAGATGTTTAATTTAAGAAGTCCAATACCCTGCGTAATTGTGCCCCATGTGAGGTAGGAACTGCCGATTCTGGTTTGGCCGCTGCTCTAGCATTGCTAAGGCTCCCTGATTCATTCCGTTCTTGCCGTACTGTCGCCACATCTGCTGCTCCTGCGTCAGCAGTTGCTGCTTCGTCTGCATGTCGGACATCTGAACATACGTCGGCGGAGGCACCAACGCCGACGCCGCGAAAGGGTCTGCACCTACTGCGGCGCTGCTGCCTCCTGGAGGCGCCGGCAGGGCGAGCATGGGCGCCCCGGGTGGCCGCATCACAACACTGCTGGCGCTGCCGGAGAACGTCTGTGCGTTGTTGGCCACCGCCGCATGGTTGTACATCCCGTCCAGCACCATCATACTGAGGCCGCCGCCGAGCTCGGCGCGCTGGTTCGCAAGCGCGCTCGCGGACTGGACCAGCTCCGTTTCCCAGTCCGCCGAAGCGCCCTGGAACACGTTGCCTTTCGGCGCTGAGCCGGCTATGTCGCCGTCGAACAGCGCCAGCGCCAGCTGCTGTCCGTGCTCTTCGCCGGACATGGCGTCCGCCTTGAGGTTGAGGAAGTCGGCCTCCTCCTCGACCGGGTCGGCCACGATGAGCGAGGCCTCTGGCTCGACTGGCCTCCTGTCCGCTTTCGCCGCAGCCGGCGGCACCTCAGACGCTGGAAGTGCCTTGGTTGCGTTCATATCGTCGTCCTCTTCCTCTTCGACGAGGGCTGGCTCTGGGCTTGCCATCGGCTCCGGTTCCGGCGGCGGGAGCCTCTGCTGCGAGTCCGCGGCGGCGTGCCTGTCGCGGATGAACTCGTCCATGAGTTCCAGCTTCTTCTGCGTGACGACCTCCACCTCCGGGACGTCGGACTGGCGGCACACACAGACGACCTTGCACCACGCGTAGAAATTCTCGAGCTCCTCCAGCTGCTTGGCGAGACCGCAGAAGAGGGCGTGCACGCGCTCGCAGTCCGCGGTCTCCATCTCCGCGAACTGCTCGATGAGCGTGGCCATCACCTCCGTGAGCTCGCAGTAGAGCTGCACGCTCTCCTTAACCAGCGGGTACAGAGACACCGCCACCACCCGGTTCGCCTTCGCCGCGCCTGTGACGACAATGTCATTCGAAGGTTTTGGCTCTTAACAAATCAATGGCAACGATCCAACTTCATCAAAAAGACAAATTGCGTGCATGACCGCTGAGGATGAGGAACGGGCTCACCTACAGGGCGGCAGGCGATGAACCGGTCGAGGAGATGATGCAGCTGGTTGGCCTTGACGAGCAGCTGATCCACCGTCATCTCGCTCGTGGGCGGGTCCCTGGGCACGAGCGCCACCGCCTTGCTGTGAGCCTCGGCGTCCACCGCGTCCTCCTGTCTCCCGTTGAAGCAGGGGGCGGCGACGTCGCAGGTGTAGCGGTTCCCGGGGGACGCGGCGTACATCTCCTCGTGGAGCGGCCTGCCACCGCGCGCGGCGCCGCCGCCGCCCTGCTGCCTGCCCTGCATCCGGTACTCGAGGCGGTCGTCGAGGTAGGCGGCGTAGGTGCGGATGAAGGCGGAGAAGTCCCAGGCGTCGGCACGGGAGCGGTCGCAGAAGTCGGACATGTTGAGCATCCGCGTCCCGCGCCGCGTGGCGAAGAACATCTCCTGCTCGAACGCCGGGTCCCCGTCGCCGAGGAGGCGGTGCACGATGACGAGCGTCTTGAGCGCGACCGCCCAGCTCCGGGTCCGGCCGAGGCGGCGCGACAGCGAGGAAACGCAGGAGCTGACGTACACCCGGGAGAGGCAGGTGAGCGTGATGATCTCCCGGATGTGGCGCTCGTCGGCCGGGAACGACTCGCTGTGCCTGGTGGCCTTGACGATGGCCACGTCCAGGTCCGCCTCCAGGGCGCCGCCGCTGCCGACCTTGGCGAGCCCGATGCTCGTCTGGTCCTTCACCGCGCCCAGCGCTTGGCGCAGCTTGCTCGGCGCCATAGTACGTTTCCGTCGTCGTCCTCCTCGCGGAGGTCGATCGCTTGCTCGCGGTAGATTCTCGCCTCGCGCTTGGTCGGGATGGCCCTGTCGTGTGGACGGGCAAATGGACGTGTGGTGCTGGTGTTTGGGCGCGCGGCGGGTGATGGAAATGCGCGCGCGACGAAAGCGGGTGGCGGGAGGACGACCGAGGAAGGAGGAGGCCCCCGTGGACGGCGCGCAAAGAGGCGTTGACATTGGGCATGACACAGCGGATGTATGGTTGACTTTTCTTATTATCTTTCTGAATCTTATAGTAGTGATATCTAAAAGAGATTTACTAGAGAGTTTGTCTTTTTGTGAATCAATTTCTATGGTGCGTCAGACTAGTGAAGCTATTTTGATCTTGTATACGCCTCTCTGTCCGTGTGTTGTCCTGTCCGTCACTTTCCCTCTTGATGATTCATGTAAACCGTTTGGCAAAATGCTTCCGCGTGTCTGTCCCAGCATGTTTTAGGGAGGTGGAGGAGGAGCCGGGAGAAGCCACTATTTTTGGCTCCTTCCCACCCCAAAGCTCTCTGAGAGCACGTTTTTAGGGGCTTCATCGGTGGAGCCATTTCATTTACCCGTTTGGCGAGAAACGGCTCCAAACGGCAGCTCGAGGCTCCATGTGGCGGAGAAGCCCTACCAAACGGGGCCTAGTTCGCAGTCTCATGAGAGTTTGTCTTTTTGTGAATCAATTTCTATGGTGCGTCAGACGTGAGATGAAGGGATCCGGATGATTCATGTATACTCCTCTCTCTCCGTGTGTTGTCCTGTCCGTCACTTTCCCCTCTTGATGATTTATGTATACGTACTCCTCTGTCTTCGTGTTGTCATGTCCGTGAATCCGTCAATTCCTCTGTCCCACCTTTCTTCTATGAGGTGAGGAACGGAGCACCACGAGATCCAAGCGAGGCGAGCCGCGGCGACGTCCAAGTCTGGCCGGTGAGCATGCCTCCGCCTCTTTCAAAATTTCTAAGGTGGTGCGGGGCTCAACGCCGATCACGGCCAGGCTATCCGGCGGGGCTCCATGTGGCATGTCTGGGGAGGCACCGCCGCGCCAGCTAGGGGACTTTGTTGCCGCCCTTGCCGGCGTATGCTGCTAGGTGCCGGCCTGCCGAGGTCGCCCGAGCCGCGTGGCGGGCGGGGCTCCATGTGGCTTACAAACGTCATTGGGCCTTGTCTTGCAGAGCTCCACCGCCGCCTCCCTCCCAGATGGTGTGCATGTTGAGCGAGCATAGGTTGTTGGAGTTGATGGCCTAGGGGCTGGGCATCCTGCAAAGTATGTTGCAAAGGGCGATGTTTCATTTGTGTTTTCGGATGGATTGCAAGTGGACGGGGACGCATATGTTTCACATATGTTGTAAGTGTTTTATCCGGATATTGCAATGGTTTTTAAGTGGTTAATTTTCATGTTTGATAAAATCATCCACATCTGATGACTGATGGTTAAACAAACCTTCGGTCCCCTGTCACATAGACGGACTCTGTATAAAATTGTTCACTGGAAGCCGACATTGTTAATCCCCTCTAACCGGTAAATGGGCTTATTTCTATCCCGGCTTTAATTCAGCCTACGTGTTGACAGCTATGGGCCCGAACCCGAAATTTAGAACAGAGTGGGCACCTTCTTTTTGCACGACTGCAACTTATTCCTACCTGCATGGATAATTGGATATAGCAGGAGTCGTTACTTTTACTGCTGAAAGTTAAATTTTCCCGCACGTGCTGCCATGCACCGATGCAGGTCACATTGCTACTAGGCCATTCTCTTCCGTTTGGCTTTGGGTAATGCTGGGGTCAGTCCGTCCGTCCCCGTCCCTCCGTGTTTCCCAGATGCGTAGTGGACCAGCCCAACGACTCCTCAAATTCTCTCAGTTTATTTCTAATAAAAAAATTACGCTCATCGCTCATATCTATCCGCTCGTCAGCTCCTATCAGCTCGGTGCTCCTATCCGCTCGCCTGTCGCCTCCGAGGAGCATCACTCGGCCACCGGACTGCCGACACTACTTGCCCTTTGATGAAATCATATGCAGTGGACGGTGAGGTGCGTGTTGTTGCGCGTAAATCTGCGGTCATTTGAAAAGACATATGCCTTGGAGCCTAATTTGGTTCGCTAGGCGGCTGATGGGTCTTATAGGAACTAGGAATATAGGCGATGTGGCTAGGCTGAGCTTTCGTTTGATTGCTAGATTAGCGGCTGCTCTGCGCATTCTGCTCACAATCCTACAAGAGAGTGTCTAGCATCTAGAGATCTTTCTAAGCTTTTCGATGCCTCCTCACCGCGTCTCGGTGTGCGCCGACGCCGATGCTGGCAATGCTGAAGCCGCTGCTCTACAACGTGGGAACTTATTTGGGCCATTGTCTCCGATGAGCTCCATTGCTGAAATTATTGCGCCGTCGAGCCTCCATTCTCCCAAGCAGGAGATGTTGCGATGTGCTAAACATGCATGTTGCAAGCGTACGTTTCATGTGTTTCATAGGTATGTTGCAATTGTTTTATACTGATGTTGCAAAAGTAGATTGAGATGTTGCATATGATGCAATGGTTGCGCATGTATGTTGCAAAGGTCTGTTTCCGATGTTTCATTTGTGTTTTCGGATGCATATTGCAAGTGTGTTTTATCTGGATGTTGCATATGTTTCACACATATGTTGTAAGTGTTTTATCTGGATATTGCATATGTTTTGCAATGGTTTTCAAGTGTTTTTTTCAAGTGTTTCATAAGCATGTTTCAAGTGTTTTATCTGCCTTCAGACGTATGTTGCAAGTGTTGCATCTCGATGTTTCAAAAGTAAATCGGGTGTTGTATCTCCCTCATCACTTTTCTGCTGCCTTGCCTCGGTGTCTTCTCCTCCTCCAGGCACCGACTAGGCATCCGCCGCCCCCTACTTCTCTTCCCGATGCTGGTGACATTTGGGGAGATGCGGGAAACTTACGCCGAAAGCATATGGGGAGGACACAGGCGGTTCCGGCGCATACCTTGATGATGCGCGTGGATCGAAGCGGATCGGAGGGGCTTTAGTTGTGAGAGTTGAGACAAGCTAGCTGGTTTGTAATAACTTTGCAATTTGAACATTTTAATTTAGACGAGGTTCACGAGGTGTGAGTTTTACCTAGAAAGGGGACATTGGGCTTCATACGATTGTTGCGCATATGCGCGTGAATGGAGCATAAGGCACCGGCGTTCGGACGTCTAGACGCTAATAAGGCCCTTTGGCTTTGGACACCTAGCATGTGCTAAGGTTGCATGGTCGAAGCTCTTCTCACCCTTGATTCCTTCTCTTGAAGAATTCAGCACTTGCGTTGCGCTTGCGCAGTTTCGTACCTTAGCTAGCGTTGGCACACGCAAGGCCCGTCTCGAGAACATGGAAACCAACGAAAGAGACATGCACTCCCGCAGCTTCACTTCAATTTCAAGGTTTCATATGTTCTTGCATTGCCGCTAGCTTCATTTCGAGTACCTTGCGCGGGCGATCGTCAAGGAGAGAGCAATTAATTACGATTTAAGAGATACCGCATGAAATGAGTCATGGATCATTGATCACTGTCGTGACTCGTGAGATCTCCAGACGCCGCGGCCACTCGATCGAGATAGCTAGGTAGCCTCTTTCCGTCCACGTTCGTACGTACATCCGCTGCTGGCCGCAGGTTTCTCTCAAGTGACGCGGCAAACAGGACGCACAGCACCAGGGAACTACTCGTACGAGTATAATAACAGATAAACGCACGTTCTTAATGGCCAGAGTTAGAGCCCTTGATTGCATGGCAGTGTCGATTGTCGAACTCCAGTCAGAGTTCAGAAATCAGAACCTCCTCCAGTGTACAGCGTATTGCTCACTCTACCGGATCAGCTATAGTAGCCCTTCACATCGGCATGTCTTTGCTCAGCAGTCAAGCATCCATCATGCACTTGTTCATCGCCATGGTCGGCAGGCAACCTTGAACGAGCACCGTTTTCCAAGAGTCTGTGTCATTCCCGTGTTTTGCCCCCCATTCCACACCCGATTTTTTTGGCACTATTCTTCTTCCTCCTCTCGCCGCCCGTCGCAGTCTCCGCTCGTCCTCGCCCCCACTGCCGACCACCGCCCCGCTGCGTGCTCTAGGGTTCGCCGGAGCTCCGCCATGGCTACCCTTGCCGGTGACGCCGCGACGCCCCCACCCCTACCTGGCCCAGCCGCCTCCACCGCCGCCAGGACCCTAAACCACTTGCCCACCATCCCCACCACCTGGCCTGCCAACCTCCCTCGACCAACCCCTTCTATACCTGCCGGAGTCGGAGAAGAAAGAGGGGGAGAGGCTCGCCGGAACCCTAGCCGCCGCGCCAGAGTTGGGGAAGAAGATCGGCGGCCGCTAGCGAGGAAGAAGACGTCGGGCGCAGGCGAGGAGCAGACAGTGTCGTGGGTGCGAATCGGACGGCCTCCATCGCCGTCCCCACGCTCATCGAACGCCCAAAACACTCGGTTGCCATATAGCATTTCTCTTTTCCAATGATTCATGTTCAGAACAGATGAACATTTAAGCAAGAATGGATGGAGTACATTAATCAAGAACGGATGAAGTACTCCACCCGTCTCAAAGCGAATACAACGCTATCTTGAATCTGCTCTAACTCAAACTATTACGAGTTTAACTTAGTTTATTCTAATTTAATTAGGAAAAAAATATGCTCGTTAGGAAAAATACGTTGATCAACTCTAGTTTATTCTTATTTTTTAGCAATAAGTATTATTGAATGAACTTATTATACAACATATTTTCCCTAATATTACTATAAATGTACGTTGTTATACTTTATATAAATTTGATCAATCTTGAAAAGTTTCAACGAATAAGAATAAACTAGAGTTGATCAACATATTTTTCCTAAAATTATTTTTAGAACGGAGGTAGTGGTCATTGTTAGTGGACGCGTTTTCTTCCAAGCGGAGCTCCATCCCTCCATACAGCCGCGATGGAGCAATCATTAGTTAGGCTCCT